TATTATCTATATTATTATTATATATATCATTATTATTATTATTATTGTATCCATATTTCATTAACGTCGAAAATGAGAATGTTCGTGTATTCCGCCATGCAAATTCCCTTGATAAATAACGCCATCTGCGGCAAACACGCTCTGCCTTTATACGTTCCACTATCGGTAACATTGCAAACACAGAGACCTGAAATTAAATTTTTTCATTAAAGGTTATAAAAAATAATAACAATAATAAACAATAATAAAAATTACCAAAATATGCTGCGGAATGTCCCCGATATTCTTCGCACCATTATTCGTCACCAAATAATCGTATCGATTCCTTCTCTTCGCCCTTTTCGCTTCAGGACCCTCGCCGAGCCCGTCCAAATGTTGAGGCGGGGTTTGGCTATGACCCCGCCCCCCTTTTACCACTGGAGGGTCCCCCAGACCCACCCCCTCTTTCACAGACATTGTCTCTGGAGAGAGTCTCGTCGCATGCGTCTTCGATGTTGATGGCACTTCTTCGCTGGCATGCGGCTTGACCTGAAATTTAAAAAAANGAGAGTCTCGTCGCATGCGTCTTCGATGTTGATGGCACTTCTTCGCTGGCATGCGGCTTGACCTGAAATTTAAAAAAATTTATGATGGTTCCACCTTATCGGCACACACCCTGACCTAAAATTAAAAATAATGATGGTACCCTGATCCAAAGTTAAATTTAATCAACTAACTTTTTTCCTCTTCGTTTCCGGCTCACCCACAGCACCACTCGCCCCGGCGGTCCTTTTCGTTCTGGCTGCAGTTGGTATTCCCACCGAACCACCCTCAGAACTTCCCGAGGTTCGGGAACTCGCCGGATGCTGATGTGTTGACGTGCCAGCTCCAACCCCAGCTCGACGTGTCGTTCGATTGGCTCTCCTTGAAGATGACGACGTGCCTGATGACGACGACGCTACTCTTGGCTTCGGCTCTTCTGTATCTCGATTACTCCGTAGTCTCATTTCACTGCTGGTCAATTTTGAATTATTTAACGAAATGCGGCCAAATTTAACGAAATTATTTCACAAAATTAACGAAATAACGAAATTATTCACCGAAATTAACGAAACCATTAAATTGAAATGACCGAATCAAC